TATATATTTTAATTAAATTTAAGAAAACCTTACTTCTTGTAGTGATTTTTCAAATAATAAATTAAATCAAATGATACACCAAAGAATTATTCATTACAATAAAATAGATTAGCACTGTATTTGCTCGAGGTTGTCACTTTTGATAGTCATAAAACATTAATTATTTAACTACACAATCTAATTATTTTATAACAAACAAAACTATAATCAGACGAGGCATGCATATGTATACCCTACTAACTTGTGTGTACACATGAAAATGTAATCACTATATGAGTGTCATAAAAACTTGTTACGTCGTTTTTTCGTTATATACTTATTGAAAACTCTACTATTGTATTATAATTTGATATACTATTCATAATCGATAATATCATAATTGAAACACGTATAAATAATATTTTAAGTGCAGTTTAAAAAAAAATAATGCATTAACCACTACGGATACGAAAGATAAAAAAAATACATTATCGTTTCCTGCAAGTCGCATGTCAAATAGCCCGTTAATAATAGTTTTGGGAGCCTAATTGTTGAAATAAAAAAAAAAATAAAAATAATTAATGGAATACAAAACGCTTCGATTAGACGTCGTATGATTCCGCACAGTTATGGAATCAAAAACGAGAGCGTATTGATAATATCGTTGGATTTGTCACGTAGTTGACCGCCTGGTTTTAGTGTTCACGTACAACTATATTACACAGTAAGTATCTGTATACTATACAATATACTAAATTTCATTCGTACATATATATATGTTTGACAAATAGTTACAAAACGAGAAGGCGGTGCACATACACTACATATTCTTGTGGAAAAAAGGATTAACCGCATCGACAAAGCCATTCGTCGTCGTTTTTATACTTTAATACGTGTTTATAGATTATAACAGTATCACAACTTTCTCTAATAACCACGCAGCCGAATATCGCTCACAGATCTGTTGTAGTGGTCAACATTGTGTACCGCGTCCGTACGATTGTTTAGCTGTTCGTAAGTAATGCGCATGTCTATACCGGTGACTAGATTTTATATTATTATAAAGACGGCGGAAACGACCGGAGATCGTTATGCGATTTTTGCGGATCCATATCCGGCACACGGAATACAGTCGTCACGTTTTGACGGCTTCGGCCGAAGTAAAATCTATTGTGTCTGTTCACGGACAATCGATCGCATAACGACGGTGTTGCCGGTAACGCGAGCATATACTGCATTGTACATTTGGCCGTTTTAAATCGTTATCCATATTCCAATTACAAAACTACGTTCGTGCACTGCTCACGGAGAGCTTATCCGCACAAAATAATACTAAAAAAAAAAAAAAAAAAATGAATAAATAAAAAAATACCGGCTGACCATTATGTACCAGTGCACAGTTATTGTACCGCATTGCAATGTGTGCGTAGCGCACAAGCGTGATAAGTGACATTTTTTTGAAAAATGAGTTAAGTGCATATTCAATTTAATCATAAAATTATGCACATTACGCATAAACAAAATTATAACATTATTCAAGTAATTGTTGTTCTTTATTGAAATTAGAAGAAAAATGTGATGTGTTTAAGTATTACTTTTTACATGTACAAAATGTGTTAAGTACAATACTTTTTTTTTTCAAATATTTTTTAAGAATACAAATGTGGTCATTTCAGGTTTTTAATCCTCATTGCTCATCGCATGTTAAGGGTAACATAACAAAAAGTTCATTACAGTTCGTTACATTTTTGAATTGTTATAACAGCTCAAACATATAAATCGTTCTCCTGAACAATTGCGAAAATGTCGCTTATCACGGTTGTGCGCTACGCGTTACTTGTGCACTCCGATTGTGTGCACGTAAGGCCGTGTAGGATTTAAAGTCTCAACACGCGGCACTCGAACGGAAAATTGCGCCGGCGCTGCGTGATTATAACACAACACCACAGCGCGTTCGTGAACGTGTAATATTTTTTTGTTTATTTTAATTTTAAATTTTTTCCATTTTCTTCGCCGTGCCGCGGGACGATGTGCAGCAGTAATTAAGAGCGATTTTTTTTCCACGAACGTGACTAAAAGTAAAAGTACACGAAACGATTCTACCTGGGCGGTACGCCGTCGATCGAGTGTTTAATTTTTTCGTGAAAAAAAAAATAATGAATAATTATAATAAACGCGCCGACGGAAGCCAATTCCCGTTCCGTGTGAACCACGTAACACGCCGTTTCCCGAGTCCCGTCGAAGACCGGCGCCACGTCATCGAAACGTTGTAACACCGTTGTTACGCAGAGGTGTGTTTCTCCCCCGCGGAACGTCGCGTTGCGCAACGTCCGTACCCGGGTGGCCGCGTTACGATTCGCAAAGCCTTTGCGCGATTTATCGAATCGATACGCCCAGATTGACTACCGAAAAAATTGTAACCGACACGACGGCCTTTGTTCGCGCGTGTATCCTTTTCCGTTCAAAAGCGCACAGCATCTGCGTTGGTGATCGCCACTGAGGCCAAAAAATGAACGTTAATACGGTACGGCCCTGCCTCCCAAGCCCGTACCGTATTTACAGAAAAAATGTATATTGTTATAAGTATGTAGATAGAGCCATAGAGGTATGACGGTGTACACGATGTACCTTTTATCTATATTACGAAGAATCAATAAACTATATTAATATAAAATATACTACGGTATGATACTATGATATTATTTTATAATGTTCAAAACATGAATTGCGTAGCACACATTTCTGTACGGACTAAATTGTTGTTTTATTTTTGTTATAAGATTTTATAAAACTATAACTTGCCCCCTCCCCATAACCAAGTCACTGGAACCACCCCTGATGATCGCTGCAGTGACGACGCAACAATCCCTTATTATCGCGATTCATTGGGTAAAACACGATTGCATACGTTCGTTATCGGCAATACCTTTTTAAGCTAAACAATTCCGTACGGTTTTACCTGATTTTTAACTACACGATTACGTACGAAATTTTAAACGTTGGAGCCAATTTTCATACCGATATTAGTGTATATACCACCTGCCTATACGAGAGAACTTAAAAAAGTTAATAAATACTTTGTGTTTTATCGCTTTCATTAACTACGTTTATTGTTGATGATATCGAATATATAAGATATAACGAAATTTCGTTGTTTCCGTTATATTATACGGTATTTTCCGAATTTCAGTAAAAGTAGTAGTTATAAATGTCAACGAATCCAAATTTATAAGCGTTTTCAAATTATTTATTAACAATGATTTCATTCGAATAAAAACTGTCGATTTTATTTATTAATTAATTACTTTTCTTTTATTCCGTTATGCTCATTTTGTTTATTATTTTATTATTATTTTTTTTTTTTATGAACTACTATAGAACTGTTATATTTATTATTTATGTTTATGTCTATTATTTATATTATTTATTATTTATGTTTGTTTTTTTTTTTTTTTTTCATTAATACCTAAATATTTTTACAGTTGTTGACAAATTCGACAACGTTGCATACAATTTCATACGCAATGGTGTTTATTTATTTTTCTTACCCACCTTTTTATTACACATCTACAAACGTATGCAATCGTGTTCTACCCGATACTGTCTTCGACGGATAAACGGCAACGAATAATTATCCCTACAGTCACCGATTACACGGCACCGACATATCTTATTTTCGTCCGGCTAAATATTTGATTTCTCCCGTTGTGCAGCGGTGGAATTTCCGGTGCAACTCGGACCCAATAAATGCAATCGTACATGTTTATTACGTCTCATGCACGTTCGGCCGAAAAATAACGTCACGTTATGTACAACCGGTACGAACAAAACGAATACGTGGTACGGCGGAAAAGCACGAGGCCCTTCGCGATCGCACTAGCTGCACACGTCCCTTGAGGACGTTATATCATTTTTCTCCGCAGGATCCTCGGACGACGAGCGTCCGCGAACCGCGAAGATACGGAGCGCGCGTTGTCCGTCACGGACGGCGTCGACCGAACCGCGAGCGACACGATGAGGGGATTCTCGGATGATATGCCGGAAGAAAGGACGAATTCGTCTTCGCGCGCAAATCGATCGCATCGAAGACAAATCGATTACGCGTATCGGCAAGGAAGTCGCGACGACGTCATGGCAGGACGAAAATAACGAACGTTTATCACGACTCTGCGAAACACCGACGACGGCTCACGCTTTCACTTCGCGAAAACCATCATCGTCGTCGTACCCCATAACCGTCGGTTATGGAACATTCTGTTCTGCGCATTCCTCGTCTTATTGTTCGGTGACCGACGCTGTAACACACGCCGTTGTGCGCGGTCAATCGAATGTGCCCCAAAGGCCGATGACTGTGATGACCGCGTTTCGGTTGGTGGCCTCTGCGGAGGCCCGGTGTCGGACCCGGGCAACGGACGTGACGACGGTCGAAAACGCCCAAACGTGTATTCGTATTTTCGCGGTTTATTGAATATACGAAAACGGTTTTTGAAAAATCGATATAATACACACACGGCGGTGCATTGACTCGCGCACACGTCAGATCGCGTATACGCTGACATTTACGGTGTATTACATTAGTTACGCGTGGCTATTGAGCCAATCGTACGAGTACGTATGACTTTATAATAAATCGTACGTTAGAACGGTCGTATGTTTCGATCAGTGAAATTGCCGGATCGTGTTATGAACGAGAGAACGACCGATTTCAGTTTTACGTGCATTGTTTTGTACCGACACGCGGTACGCGATATTTCATCGGAGACTCAGTGGCCGATCCGGGCCGACGTGACGGGGCGATTTTTAACACTCAAACGACACATTACCCGGTTCATACAGCGGTTCGGAGTACGTTTGAATTTATCACGTGTCGAAATAATTTTAAGCACGTTTCAAACCGTGGCTGGGAACTACATTTTTGGCCTACCGAAATCAACGACTGTTATTCCGACCGTTGATGCAAACATGTACAATTGTACCCGCAATATGATTATAAACTATGTTCACATAAACTTAACACTCACCATATCTCGCCAGCCGATTTGCACAGGAGCTTTACGCAGTCCAGACATCCTCTGGCCGACGCGTAATGCAGCGCCAGAGCACCGTTGTTGGATCTTTCCAGCACCGGCATGTCTGCTTCCCACAACAGCCACCTGACCACGTTCACTCGACCATATCTGCGAACAAGAGGAGTGAATATAATACGCAGTCAATGCGTTCACTATTGAATAATAATAATCCTCGGGAACAATCGAAGTGATTTATTGTTTATATTATTATTTATTATGAAAGTTTTAATCGCATCGCGCACACATTCACGTAAGAAGCAATCAACTGTGCGATAGAAACAAAACATTTTTGAATCGCCTAGTCATAGCGCGTTTTCATTACGAACAATAATTATTATTACGGGTATTAGATATATGCCGTTATTGTTGTAGTTACGTATTATTTTATATTTGCGTTTATTGACTAACTATAATATTATATGTGTTCAACAACCGTTCTTTACATTATTCACAATTTCTACTACTTGACTGTATACGTATGGGTTTATTATTATACGAGTTACCATGCACGTTACGTGATTTTATCTATTGCTTCTGACTTATACGGCTTATATGAGACTTATCCGTTCTACAAAAGTCAAGTGTGATATAATCATTGAATAACGAAAATCATCGGACGTCCGCCTCGACTCGTTAACATCTGATGCAGTACATAGTGGTACATGTAAACGTTTAATTTTTAATTATTTAAATAAGCCCTTGGTATCGGTGACCGCTGGTATTCTCTATGTTAAATTATAACAAATATTATTAGGTAACATCGAATATAATATTATAAAAAAATATTATATTAAATGACATTAAGACACGGTAGATCGCAATTATTACATAGATTGCTCGGAAACTTGAAATAACTAGAGTTAAAATGTATTATATATTGTTGAGTAGATCAACTGAAATTATGAAAATGATTGTGGCTGATACGAAGTTGGAATCTTGGCTGAGTGTTGCATCTAGAGATTTAGAACTTATACTGGCCGTGGAATATAAGCGTCGTGTTCGGTAACAATCTAGTGGTGTATTGTTGCAAGTGAATTTTGTATTCAACAAATGTTGATTTCTATTTACTTCTTGTTTTTATCGACATAATTATCATAATATTCACTTATAAAAATATTTTATAACCGTAATAAAAAGTTTTAATGTCAAAACCGTAATAATATTTTGAACAATTTAAAACTATACTCGTATTTCATCACGAATTTAAGTAATTGTGTATTAAATCATTATCATAATTTTAAAAAAGAAAAAGTGCATAATATTTACTTATTAAAAGAAAAAATTTGAAAGTTATTGTTGAGTAAATATTCAAACCCATCAAGTTAACGTTATTTATAAAATGCTATAATAGTTGTTTATCTGTTTCGAACGTTCTTCGACAGTTGAAAAATTTCTTAATTTTTAAGTAATAATTTTTATCTAATCTAAATTTTAAAATTGCATTAATTTATAACGTGAATATATATCAGTATAATAACAAAATTATAAACTGGTTGGAAAACATGTTACGTAGCTACACGGACGATTAACATTAATTTAATATTCACATGTGATCGTTATTAAATACATAATATAACGAAATGTGAATTACATTAAAATGTTAAAACCTTGTTCAAAATCAGTAACTGGTAGAAATGTGACTATACCTCATTGGTTTACAAGTACACAGAAATTGTTGGTTGAACTGTACGAACGAGATCATTTTTCGCCGTACAAGTCTTTGTTAGATTGTATTATTATTATTATTTGTTTTTTATCTCAACGTATTTCGATTATTTGATAATAAATTCTGACGGTGTTGCTCAATAAGCGAGTTCATGTTTTGAACGGGTCGAAATGTAAACCCAAGTTCGTATGTTGTATCATGATTGTTGCGTCACTGATATACCACGCATAGGCGCGAATTCAATCTAAAACTTAGGAGTACTAAAATTATTTACCCTAATGTGATCCCGTGGGGAGCAAAGTTTCCCCCCACACAACTACACATATATCTGACAAAAAAGATTATAGTTTTACTATTTAATTATAAATTTATAAATTTTCTGTATTATAAATAAATGGTACTGTTAAACATCATTTTTCTTTACCAATAAGCGATCAAACCGGTAGACGGCGAATAAAAACAAAATCCTAAATAGTATTCCAACAATAAATACTAAAAAATAACTAAAATAAGCTAGACCACCAAATCCGTCAACACATTCTAACCGTAACGATATCACATGTGTTACTAATAGGTAACGTGACAAACCAAAGTACCCAACTCCTACTCTTTACATACATGTATAATGTGTGTACATTTTACGTCCGTGTCGTCCAATGCAAACTGGAATAAATTCATTCTCATAAACGCAAAATAATCGTCTTCAAACAATATTTTACCAATAAACTGAGGGTGCTGATTTAGAACTTGGGGGTGCTAAACACTCCCTGACATCCCCGTATTTGCGCCAATAATGTCGTGGTATTGATACTCAAAACATGCTCCGTGAAATCCCAAGACTTGGCGAGAACGGTCTAGAGGTTCCACGGACACAACTCTTTGGTGCAATTGTTACGTTTTACATACATTGTACTCGTGCAGACACGTCCATTGATTTTCTTCCGTCGAAACGAACATTAAAAATGATGAACCACTACTTAATTCGTAATTATTATAGTTATCATTGATTTTTTTTTTTCAATTAAATTAAATTGTTTCGTATTTATTCGGTATAAGAACGATAAAGAAGCAAATCGAAAATCAGATCGTAGATTCGTCGTTGTTCATGAAATGTGGTCTATTACATTCTTGGTTTTCGGTGCGTGCTCCATGATTTATTTATTTATTTTCATCCGTGCAATACAATATTCGACTCGTCGGGACACCGCGAGTGTTTCGGCTTACGCCTGACGTGGCTCGGGTGCGGCTACATATTGTACGCGCAAGTGTTCAGACCGTCCTGCGCACGGCGCGTGTCCTCGTCGCACTCGGTGTCGTTTGATAACTGACCGCTCGCGCGGATCATGATCAAGGTGGTTTGCCTGTTCCGGCGTACTCGTCTCTGCCTCAGATGTACGTAATGACGACCGTATTACGGTGTGCGTACACGATCGGTGTCGACTGGACTATAGTGTCTGCCAAACAGAGCATAAATGTCGACCAGGTGATGTTCACAACGATTTCGTTGACAATATACTACGCCGACGAGTGTCAGGGTACGTGGTGGTGGTAGAAAAGGGTGGTGTACATTAACAAAAAATTGAAATGCACGAATTTTTATTTTTTTTTTATAGATATGTAATTTAAATAGAATTTAAGAGAATCCTTATGAAGCTTTTAATGAACATTTTACAGGAGTGTAATGGGACCAACTATGCTATATGGTTTAGAGTGTTGTGTGGTTGACAGAAGAATAGAACAGAGTATGAGTATTACTGCGAAACGAGAATGCTTAAATGGATGAGTGGAGAAGATAGAACAGGGGTCGAATAAGTGAGAGGCAGTATTGGTGTAGAGCGTCGATAGTGGACAAAATGAGAGAAAATAAACTGAGATGAATTAGGCAAATAATGAGACGAGAGTTATAAAAATGAATGTCGAAGGGAAAAGAGGAGGATCGAAAAAGAGATGGTTGGATACGATTGAAAATAATACGAGAGCTATTGGTGTGTCCGTAGGGGATGTAGAAAATCGAGACGAGTGGAGGTTAAGGTGCCAAACCCAAGTAGTCAAGAGAAAGGCGAAGAAGAAGAAGAAGAGAACGGAAATGTAAATTAAAATTATTTTAATAAACTGAAACCATTGTAAATACACAATGCACACCGTCAATAGTATATTTCATAGTCACTAATCATCTGAAGGAAAACTAAATGTCTATCACAAAATAATGCCAAAAGTAAAAACTGTAAAATTACTAACAGTTTAATATAATTTAATAAAATACAGTTTAATAAAAGCACGAAGTACTTAAGATTTGAGAGTATAGGTAGTGCTCCCGTGGGTTTTCAAAATAATATTTAGAGTTTACTGCGTATAAGTAGTGTACCATACGGCAGCGTTCCTCATCATTTTTGTATTCGCGTACCCCTTGATCTCTCACCGTTACCTTACGTAACCCAAACTGTCAATTTGTCTACATCTGCATTGGATTGATAAGAATTTGTAAAATTAATTTTAACGAAAAATAAAATAAACAATTACAAAGTATTTATTTGTTTTAATCAGTACCTACCTATGTGCAAAACAATACGTATGAAAATATTATATAAATTTTACAATTTAATCCTAATATGATCCTCAAGGTTGTTTGGTAACACTAAATTTTAGAAATCTGGTTCCACAGATGATAAGTAAGATCGTAAGTCTGAAATCTGAATTAATTCAAATACATCAACTTTTAAATTTTCTGCCATCACACTTTTACCCGATTACCTTCTGGTATCTTCTCGCACAGCACACCAGGGTATACTCCACGTACCCCCGGTTTAGAAACGCTACCCTACGAGAACACCGCTGCATTTGTCATACATCACACCAACACGTTGTGTACCACGCTCGCGTGCTATCGACAGCAACATGTAATAATAATCGCGCGTACTCCGGGCAAATACATTTTCGACTCGTTTAAAGAAATAAAGTCTAAAGCAATATGGACGATTCGTTCAACAAAGATGGCACAGGTGATAACAAATATTAATTACAATTAATTGAGTTACATTATTATGTTTTGTCTTAATTCATAATTTTCTACATTCACTGTACTGTTCGTCTTGGAGTGTTAAATATATATATATATATATATATAGTATGTCCCAGAAATCCCGTATTACCCTTAATATCTCCACGAGAAATCAAAATATTTAAACGCGGTTTTTTTTACAATATTTGGTATAGAAATTATGATTGAATGGCATAAAATTTATTTTTTTTTTTAAAAAATTAAAAAATTCAAAAAAAAATTGTTTATGCAATTAAGAATTTTCAATTTTTAAGATAGCCATTTTCTTGAGCATATTTTTTAAAACAGTTCAAAAAAAAAAAAAATATTAAAATTAAATAAAATTTGACCAAGTTAGAGCAAGTTATGTTTTTGAATAATTATAATAATAGTTGTTACCTAGCAAAACACGAATTGCTCAATTTAATCAATCTCGATTGGAACGCTGATTTTTTAAGGCAATCTGTAAATATCTAATTATTAATAGATCTTTTAGGAAATATTAAAATTAAAATTCATATAATATTTTTAAACTTGATTGTTAGTAGAAAAAAAAATTTTCTTACATAAAAACAAAAATAATGCATTACATTTTTTTTAAAAAAATGTTCGAAGTGCACCCCCATTATTTATAACACAGAGCAAAAGTTTTTGGACCCAAGCATTTTTAACATTTTCTAATGTCTCAGGTGAAATATTTTGAATATTTTGTTCAATTTTATATGTTACAGAGATCAGGCAATGAACACGACGGATACACAAGATTTTTCAACCCCGTAAAAAAAAATTCCATTGGTGTTCAGTCGGGTGACCTAGGTGACCAAAGCACTTTTTTGTTATAATTATTCAAAAACATAACTTGCTCTAATTTGGTCAATTTTTATTCAATTTTAGTATATTTTTTTTTTTTTTTTTAACTGTTTTAAAAAATATACTCAAGAAAATAGTTATCATAAAAATTGAAAATTCTTAAATGCATAAAAAAATTTTTTTTTTAATTTTTTAATTTTTTTAAAAAAAAAAATGAATTTTATGCCATTCTATCAGAATTTCTATACTAAGTATTGTAAAAAAAATCGCGTTTAAATATATTGATTTCCCGTGGAGATATTAAGGGTGATGCGGGACTTATGGGACGACAGTATATAGATATTATTTTTACAAGAAAACATTTACGTAAAAAATGTATAGGGTTGATAGGTATTCTGTTCTGCATAAAACCTCCCTCTTCCCCAACGAATTTATGGACATGTGCGTTTTCGATCAAAAACGTACCTTTCCCTTTTCGACCGATTCACTTTTCGATCAAATTTAAAATAGGCCGATTCCTTTTTCAACCAAAACAAATATTTATATAATAAATTTAAAATAAAAAAATAATGATGTACAATTTTTGTCAATAATTATTAAAATACAAATATAAAAGAGAACGATATTTTGTATCTAGTTTTGATATCTTATTATAATGAAAATTGTTTGCATTTTTTTTTCGAAAAATCGGAACTTTAATTTTAAAAATGTTAAGACTTCGCCCTAAGGGGAATTATAGTCTAAGTCTAACCTAGTTTTCGTAAAAACCTTGATACTGTTGCAAATGGGATTATCCTCTGTATGTGAACCTAATCTAACCTTACTACGTGAGTAAAACCCTGAATCGTTATTAATATACTATAGTAATTTCCATCATAATCAAACATTGTATATCATTATTTTATTATTTTAAATTTATTATATAAATTTTTGTTTTGGTCGAAAAAGGGAATCGGCCTATTTTAAATTTGGTCAAAAAGTGAATCGGCCGAAAATAGATGAGTACGGTTTTGGTCGAAAACGAATTTATTATACCGCGTGACTGACGGCTTAATATTATTCGATTAAAAAGTAAAACGCGTGAGACTTGTCGACGGAATCGTTTATGGACACACGTGTGGGCTTGTAAACATTTACAAAACCGATGCGCGTTAATGACATTGATATTATTAAGAACGATGAGCGTTTGGACCAGAAGACCGCTGTACGATTATTACACGTGATTATAATAATATGGTACATACGACGGTCGAAGGCACCCGAACGGAGTGCAGCGTAATTAAAACGCTGGGAACAGTGGTGGTGGTGCGCAACGTGTGTGTGCCCGTAAGACCGAGTGGAAAGTTACAAATCCACTTTCATTGAGTCGTAATTTCGAACGTAATAAAACGCGTTTCGGCTAGTATATTATTGCAATTGACGGAACATTCCCGTTAGAAACTCCGCGGTACGACACTGGACACACGTTTCATCGACGACCGAATGGAATTCGACGCGAAATCGATATCACGTTACGATAATCGTTATCATTTTTCCGACAAACTTCGCGCGCGTGTACACTTATATGCGTACATGCGTTGTAATCAGTGGCGTAGTGAGGATTTTTATTCTCGAGGAGCTGATCAATTTTTGGTGGTTTAGTTTTCTGCGACCGATGCACAATATTATATGTATAAAATACCTACTACCACAGATGGATAGCTGTAAAGTTTTAATGCTAAGGTTTTATTTAGCAATTTTCCTAGACCATAAATATAATTTTCTTAAAATCTCGGGGGAGGGGACTGCAGGCCCTCAGCCCCCCCCCACCTTGGTTACGCCACTGATTGTAATGTTCGACATTTATCGTCAAACAATGTAGTCACAGATGATTGATACGATGCGACCGAAATACGTAATACACACATTTGTACATCGTTCACGGGCGGGTATCGTTTTCGGCAGGTATCTATGACAACAAATCGGTCGTCGAGTTGCACACGTGTCCGTTATTGTAGAAAACCAAACATCTATGACCATGTGTTGATTGACGGTTGACGGTGGTCGTCTCGAACAACGTCGGAGAACTTTCATACGTTGCCGTGCCGGCGACAATTTATAAATAGGATAACTCCGATCAATACCACATTGCTGAATAGAAAAATGTAAATCTCCACACGCTCTATATAATGGTCGCTTATAAATAATAAAAACCGTCAATCAGAATCAAGGTTTAGGCGTAGAATTCATTATAGTCTATTTATACAGTAGATTATAAACATAGATACTGTTCCTTAATGAGTGTACGAAGAACGAACCCGGTACCTACCCGAATCTCACGGAAGACACGATCATGAGGATTCGATTTCACTACAAGTAAAGATAACACTAACGACCTTAAGATTTTCAATTTAAACCACCAAAAAAAAAAAAAAAAACTGTAAGACTGCCATTTTTTACGAGACCGATTTCATTCGACCAGTAATTAAATTTATTAAATATAATTTTTTAACGGTCTCGTGTTCGGTTTACGCGGCATGATAAAGCGCCAAAATTAAGTTGTTCAAACGATAATTATCTTGATTCTATCCGGGATGAAATCCTCGTTTCGAACGGCAGCATTGATCATAATTATCGGTATCCGTACGAGTATTAGCGGTTGTTGCGTCGCGACGCCGTCGTTTACAACGTAGAATCGTAAAATATTACAGACGCGCGCGTACGCAATACGTATTATTATTATTATTATACCTCAGGTTCTGCACTTTGACGCGACACGTTTCGGATAGCACGTGCCGGTGTTTCGTCACGATCTCCACGGTCCGGCGACTACGACGGTCCTCGACGTTCGTCAAGCTGTCTTCGAACTCCTCTCGCTCGGCGTCGGTCCTTTCCACTTCTTCGGCCCGCAGTTCTACCACGGTCGTGTGCATCCCGCGACAGTCGCTCCGGTCCTCGTAGTAAAAGTCCGTGTCCGAAGCCGACGAGCAGCCGGCTACCGTGTCCGTCTTACTGCCGCAGAGGTCGTCATCTTCATCTCCGTCGTCGTCGTCGTCATCGTCGTCGTTCTCGTAATCGTCCTCTTCTTCGCCATCTTCATCTACTTCTTCTTTTTTGTCTTGCCCGCCGTCGTCATTATCGGTTCGTCGTCCTTCGTTGCCGGCCGGCCGATTTTCAGCGACCCGCGGTCCTGTGCCCACGGCCGTGCCGTACGAGTCCATCCTGGTCCTGACCTCAATGGCCGGGTACCTGGAACTGATCCTGTGCACGCGCACTTTCCTCTTGGACGACTGCCGCCGGGCCACGGCCGGCGCGCGTCTGCCGTGCGCCCGATCCGACGGCGACATGACCACCGACATTAGACACCGGACGCTGTCCAACATGACTACGCGGACACCCGACGCGATCCCGAACTGAACTGCCCGGGCTACCGGGTGCTCGCCGCGCCGATAACGTATCCGGGTACAGGGTCACCGGAAATTCGAACAATGCTGCCGTACCGTCGTGCGTGTCTCATTTGCGCTCATTGTGTACATACATACGTATATGTATATGTATAATAAATATTTATGTGTTCGAGTGCGCCGCGGCGGCTGTCCACCGTGACAGTATTCTACCCCCTTCCCACCCGCACGTGCGTGTGTCCTGCTGGTATTTTTTTTTTTTTTTTTCCGTTAACAGCACTATGGTTACGGTGAAAAGTTGTGATTTGTGAATGTGTTTGCGCGTATGAGGACAAATACGACAACAACTGCTATTTATCATGTGTACGCGCGAAAAGCACTGCGATTAGCGCATTCCACGACCGTGAACAATAACTGGATAGCGCGCGCATTACCAAAAACAATTGATTTGCTCAAACGCGATGTGCAGATGTTATAACTTCAACGACTACAGTTTCTGCGTGAAATAATCAAGTTATTCTATCAGAAATTCTGTTTAAGTTTTGTCATGTAGGTGGCGAGCAAACGGCCGAAGAAAATATGTCGGACTATTGTCGAATCGACGATAATGTTAAACTCCGATAGTACCCGTAGCCGCCGGGTCAGGTCGATCTTACAAACGCATCATCCATTGGATTCGAAATATAATGATTACCCGCCACAGGGATAATTGTACCTATTCATCGACGAACGGCATCACCGTCGCTGTTGCGCCCGCCCGAGAGAAGACAGATGTTGAATGTTATATTTTTGAGATTTTATCAAACGGCCGGTACAGTAATCGAACAAAAAGAATGAAGGAAAAGATCCTATTATTAATTACTACAGTATTGTTGGACTGAATTTGTAGTCCATTGTCGAAAAAAATACGAACGTTAACTTCGAGCAAGACGGTGTTCTAGAACAGTAGCGTAATAAATCACAAAATATACTAACTGATATTTTACAATACCGAAAACTGAAATCCTTCAAAGACAAAGTTAAACGTAAATAACGTATGTTTTTGTATGCAGTGAAAAAATTTAAAAATTTTAAATCAATTGTGTTTCGTGATAGACAATTTGGAACTCTGTAGCAATAGATAAGTATTTACATGATTATGAACTTCTAAGCGTAACATCTAATCCAGAGCGCATATACATTGTGGTCTGTGAACTACGTTGTAATACTGCGGATGTTACGGTTGTATGGTTCATAAATTATGATCTAGGGTTGAATTTGAGTACGGCAGCTATTTATATACACGCGCGTACGTCAGTAATTCCGTAATGGCACGACGTAGGTTACCGCCAACACTATCTAATTAAATTTGCCGAGGTATCCTTGATTATCTTATTAATCATATTAATGTGCAAGAACAATAATCGACAAACGATTGAACGCTGACTAAAATTTGTGGTTTTCAGTGTTTGATTTGTATATTGGACTATAATAACACGTTGAGAAACAAGTCAAATTTAAAATTATCAGTGGACCGCATAATTTGGAATATCATAATGCATTCAGCGTCTACTCGTATTTTAGACCAATAACCATGTAGGTATTTGATTCATAATTAATGAATTATTAGTCATATGCGCATACGATAATTTGCGTAGGGAAATGTTGCGGAACGATGACACAAAGAATACATCTCATCGGCACATATTAGTTTCGAGTTGGTTCCAATGATAATATCTAGTGTTTTTTTTTTTTTTTTTTATAAAGCTCGAGATGAATGAACGTTTTCTTTACGACTGTATTAGCCTAAGAACATATTATTATTTCGCGGTCATACTCTGATAACAAAACAATTATTTTTCACGCTGCCTCGTATTATACATATATATATATATATATATATATATATATATTATAAGTAGACGGGCATGTTTGCTCTCTGCAGCGTTGAAAAAGTGTGTCAGTGTTTGGATTATTTAACAAATCCAGTGATTATCACAGCATACGAATTATACGCGTAAGATCGTTATTTTAGTGATCAATATACATTATTGATGTTCACCTTATTCACATTAGCCCGTATCCGAGTATAGTATCTATTTTGGCAAGCTTATGAGATTCTGAAGATAAATAATAACTAGAAAAGTGAACGGACACCATAAGATATATACGAGTATTATCGTATTTCTTTAGAGTACGTTTTCCGACGGATAAAAACACGATTTCAATTGATCACGCGGCCTAATTATGATACATAATAATATACAAGTATTAACCGAGGAACACATAAAATATAGATTGAAATTAACATTTTTAGTATTATTTAATCTACTTTACCGGAAAAATATATAATTTTGATAATTGTATGAATAATAACAAATATTTTTCGTATATAGACGTAATAAACAATCAGAAATATTATACGGGTTAAGAAACCGAATTATAATGTATGCAAAACAGTTTTATCATATTAATAATACATTATAAATCAATCTGTAAAAATGCTAATTTTCCACTCGTCTTTAATTTTTAAACCGTGATAGAGAGGACATTATTTGATGGAACAACACTTTTTTATTAGAAATACAAATGTTCATCTTACTATTTTTTTATGTGTTATACTATAAAATTACTAATATCAATTTATTGACACTTTGATAAAGTGTGATCAGAGTATAAAAAATCATTAATCGTTCAAAGAAATTTATTACTTTCATGCACGTTAACAGTTTTGTATTTATTTGGTACGTAATAAAACCATTAAGTGTATTTATAATTGGTTATTTTATGCAATAAGCCATTATTTTATTTTTTTATTTTTTATTACATAGATAAAACCAAGTAGGCCAAGTTTCTTTTTCGGCGTTGTATGCACCCAAATCAAAATCCTATAGACACATTCAACATCGATAAATCATTGACGCAATAAATGTACTTCGGGATGTTAAAGGTTGAAAATCGTCGTAAAACATAATACAAATTATTTCTCAGCGATTTGCTAGAAGAACGTGCGATACACGAGTTGAACATAATGATATAGCGAAAACGATAAAAATTCCATAATACACGCGCGCAAAATAAAACACTGTTAAACACGAGAGATTAATCGGAGGAAATCGGTAATTTCATGGTTTTCGATCAATGTATTATTATAGTTAATCGTTGCAGAAGACGTTGGTACGACGTGGCGACAGGTTAGGTGTTCAACGAGCGTTGACATTTACCTTTGTTAATTTTTCTTGTCCTAGCCTGCGAACGGTTGGCCGATAGACGATTGGCACCGCTAAAACACTCGAATAGTAATCGTGGCCGAAGACGTTACGTGGAGACGCGAGACAAACATCGAGGTTGCGTACCGAAAACGAAAACCAATAGCGGATAAGCAGAACCGTACAAGACGTGAAGATTGTGGTCCGCTGTGAGTCACGGACGTAACCGAAAAAGTGAAACGGTCGGAGTGAACTTGGCTCCGGGGCAACATGATAAAAATATTAAAAAAAAAAAAAACCGCGAATCGCTGTGCACGTGCGGTTGACCTTAGAGTGTGCTACACACGAAAACCAGCTAATACGAATCGTTCGGAGCGCGTTCGGATCACTTTTCCTCGACGCCGACAAAGCACTGCTACGCGGCCACCGTTCGTTTCCAGTTCTTAACGGTTATTCATTCGGCTTCATTTTTTTTCTTTTTTTTTTCTTATATTTTTCATTATCTTTTCGTCGGCATTCGGTGCCCGTAGTTTTGTCCGTGCCCGCGAGTTCGTACACGAGGTCCGGCGGTGTCTAGCAGCCGAGTGCGTTGACCACACCGGTGGAACCAACCGGTGCGCACATCGGCGTTACGCGTGCGGCAGGGCCACGGGACCGTGTCCGAGCTTAAACGCGATCATTAGCATGAACCACTTGGCTTATTATTATTTTTATTATGTTTTTTTTTTCCCGTCAAATCGTTTTTAATAACCACGCGCATTGTTAGAAACGGGAGAAATCCGTGTGTGATATACGAGTGCACAAGTTTTCCCCATGGCAGACGCGCCCGAAAGATCGGTAACAATCGCGTTTCGGTAGCACTAACTTCGCCGTCGTCGGGCCGCGCTTTCGTTACACGAGATCGCAACGCGTTGCCGTACAATGATTTGAATCGCTAAAACAGATCGCTGATAACGATGTACGCCATCCGTTGCCCGTTGCTTTTTCGAAAAAATCGTTATGGAAATCCGATAAAGTAGGTCGGTCACTCCGACGCGTGTGTGCATTCTGCGACGACCATAAACCGCCGCCTGGAACCAGAAATTCCGTTTACCAGTTTTCATTTCTTTCAGCAGGTGTGTTTTTTTTTTCCAAATGCCTTCCAGCGTATTTTTCTACACTCCGGTTTGTTGGCGATTCGATTTCTTTGACCCACATCTCGATTTCGAGCGAATACATGGACCGACTCGTCATGTGCGCACAACGCATAGTATGACGGTCGGCGGGGGTGCCATCCGAGCTTATTAAATATACATTAAACATCGGTCGTTTTTCTTTATTTGTTTTTTATTACTAATGCGGTATGCGTGAATACATGTATACTCGAAATATAATAGCTAGCCGCCGCGTTGATTACATTCAAATATTAACTCTGCAATTAAATAATAGTGTTTATTTTTTTACATTTTTAATTAGTTGTCATTGCGTATTCTATTGACTATTTGATATGTGTAAGATTATGTAACCATGAAGACTGTTTCGTTATCCTCGAATCGAGCACTAACGAATGTTATTGTTGGACATTTCATTCCGATACACATTTCATAGTCTATTTAATATAAGTATGCATTATTTTAATAACATGAAAATCATAAGCAAATGTTTTTATATGCATATACCATCTGAGTTATTCGGTATGCACGAGAACTACGAGTAACGATACTTTATTATCTGATAGCTAACTAAAACCAGTCTTCGGCGTATGCTATACATCATTAAATTCAACTGCGTGTTAAAAAATCGTTTGTTATTATTATTGCCTTCTAT